CCTCAACAAGCTTTATTAAATGCAACGGTCCTCTAAGAGCACCCTAGCAGCAGGGATCATGCACTGGAATGGGTCCTCTAAGTAAGACCTTCTAAGCCTTTTTGGTATACTGCCAGCAGGAGTGTGCATTTCTGGAAGGCTATTTCACCACAGATATCAAAAACCTTACAGTGTGTCCTTAATTCAATTCTGTTTTGGTCATTTTATGCTAAGGAATGTGCTGAGGATGTGCACACAAACTTAAGCTTCAAGAATATTTATTGTAGCATAATAAATATAAGGGGGAGGGGGCAATGAACTCAACACCCACCCAGAGGGAACTGTGTAATATCATGGACTTATTAAAATTGACACTTCAAAATTTAAATGGAAAACATTTACAATATATTAATTACAATTAAAAAGCAGGTCACCCAACAAGATGTAATCTAAGATACATGAACGATGTACTCAATATAATTAACTATGATTATCTAGGGTAATGAGAGATTATGGGATTTCTTAAAATTTTATCATTTTTCCCCTAAAATGTACATATATAACTTGTTAATAAGAAAAAATATATACAATCACACTTCTTAAAAATAAAGGTGAATTTTCTACTTTAAAACTGAGTACCAGACCCCACACAACCCCCAGATTCCCAATGTATTCAAAGCCCTGCTACCTGCAGAAACACTCTAAACTCTCATCACAATGGCTGAGAGGTAGCAGGGATTAAATAAAAAGATAAAATTCTAGATTTTCTGTCTCCTATCTGACTGTGGGGACTGGTTACACAAATCCATACTTGCCTTAAACCGCACAGAACTGCATATCGCCCCCAAAAAAGTTAAAAGCAATTCCATGTAAAAATATGAAAGTATTCCTGACTGAAAAAGGTTTTAGATGCTGTAAAGAAAAAAATAAAAAGGCACAACCTTCCTTGAACGATCAAGTCTGCCTAGTTAGAAGGCTACCACTTCACCAGGTAATCTCATCGCCCGAGACCCTGACTGAAAAGACCTATCTGTGTTTCTCTGTAAAGTGGAGGTGATACGAGCTCTCTCAGAGTACTCTTGAAGGTTCGGCACAATGAGGAAAAGCATGCTATGAATGGGGACTGCTGGTTATAATCAGCGTCATGCCCACCCCCTGAACAAAACCTCTCTCCAGGAAGCTCCCTTCTCTGAATTCTGTGTGGTGGGGGCACATGCTTGATTATTATGCAGCACTGCATAAGATGTACCTTGTAGGTCGCCCAGACTCCCAGTTCCTCCTGGAGCCACCGAACGTGGTACAGAGCTAAAAGTGCAGCTGCTTATCCTGGACGACAACGACAGGAGCCCAGGTACCTCCACTCACAAATCCATTATCAGAGTATCCGTTTAACTCTGGCTTTAAGAGAAAGATTTTTCTCCTCTTACTTGTTAGTCAAAAAAGACTTCAGGCCAAATAAATCAACAACAAACTCTAAGATAAAACATTTCACAATGTTAATTTTCAGAGCCCTGTGGTCTTCTCCAGCTTCTCAAGGTCATACCTCCCGAGGGTTCCTGACAGGTACACATGTACACAGAGAACACACTCCTGTGAAGTCCAACCTCTAACAGAAAGAGCAAACAGCTCAGATCCCAGCCAGCCATGACAAAGGACCGACAAAGCCGAACACAAGGGAGCCCCTGAGCATCTGTGAATCTGCCTGTTCCTTTGCCTCCTCAGAGAGAACGAATCACAAGACTGCTCAGAATAAGAAACCGAAAGGGCAGAAGCCCAAAAAGCAGCCAGCCTGAATTTCATGCTGCTTCCAAAGAGTGAGCTTGCATGCTGTGTCAGTTATTTGCACAGTGGGCAGGCGAGGCTGACAGCTTGAGGGGGCTATTTTAGAGGGAGAGCTGCAAGTCTGATGAGAAGGTTCTGGGCCCTGGGCTCCCAGCAAGCATCTCCAGCTCCCAGGCTGACCCCCCATTCACACAGGGTTTAAGAGCCCGTCAGCCAGCCCTGCAAGCACGGTCTTTGTATTTAAACCATCTCAAGGGGACCCATATCTCCAGGCACAACCAGAACCCAGGGAGGAGAAAGAAGGGGGTGAAGGAGAGGACCGCTCCACCAATAATTGTTGGCTGCACTTCTGGAGCTCCTGATCCAGGAAGCTAAATACATGAACAAAACAGAAGGAAGAGTCTGGAAAGACTAGAAGAACAGCTAGCGGAGGAGTCTCAACCTGAACCACAGAAATGCTTCTGCCTCTCTGCCCTCCTCCGCTCAGCTGGGCACCAAGTATCTCCCTACTGTGTGCACTCCAAATGCAGATCAAAGCTCAGTGGTGCCCAATGCCTCCACCTCTCTCATGCACAGGGACTCCAGGTCATCGGAGGGCTCCCAGACAGCAGCTGTAATCTCTAATTTAAAAACAAAAACCCCCCCCAAAAGTCCCAACCAGCCCAAACCAGCACAAGCAATACAGATTTACCTGTAAGACACGGTCGCACACATACATATTCACTTATTTACACACATACACATGCTTTTACAGCAAAAGGCAGACAGGAAGCCTGTTCCCTAAGTCTAGAATCCTTTGCTTTCCTCATCCGATTCTAGCAGCAACAGCCATTTCTGCTACGGACTTTCTTTTATGAGGGCTGATTACAGATCAAAATGCCACCCTCCTGCTTGCCTCCCTATCCTACCCCACCAGCCAAGAGAGGTCTGTCAACAAACCAGGGAACAAAGATGGAAGAAAGGCCCAAGCTGCATTCCTTGAAAGTGGGGTTAGATTCTACACTTTGAAAAAACCTCAGAGCCTGAACCTCTTTGCTCTCAGAGTGGCCAGGGTGCAACTCTCAGCCTCTTAATAAACATGTCCATCTCCCTCCCACCACCACCACTAGGCACAAGGGTTTTCTCTGCCCGGCATCTATTTTCAGCCCCCATAAATCATATCCCATTGTTTCAGGCAATCTGAACTCACACTTAATAAGCCATCAACCTCACCCCTCCACCACCACCCCAAATTTCCCTCAGGGAAAGACTGTTTCAAGGAAGAAAGGAAATTCTTCATTAGGGCTGGATTTTAAAAGCAAGCTTCCACACAAAACCAGAAAACAAAATTGGGTATAAATACCATCAAATAACCACTAATGTCTTTGGTTAAAGCGCTTGCCTGTGATTCTCGGGTCCAGGTGTGAGCTCAGTGAACATCCGAAGGAAGCAGAATTTGAACCTAATGCTAAATGACATATGATCCCGCACTTCACGACCATTTAAGTGCTGCAGTGGCTGGATTAGATTGCTCTGATGCAGAATTTCTCCGAAGTATAGGTTACTAAGAAACGTAATATTGCTTGAAAATGTATTTAGGTGTGTTCATCCTTCTCACACCAACACCCTCATGGATCTTATTCATAACCAGGCTTAAGCTAACACAATTCTCCTATTTTCCCGGGAGAGGTAGGGAAACAAGAGGACATATATCTCATGTTCCAAGATCAAAAACTGGATCACAGCACTCATAGCATCAAGTCTGCCAAACCAGAGCTCTGGGTATGTACAATTCTTAAAGAGCTAATTTAATGGAAAACAGCCATCTGGGGCTGGAAACCCTTATGACATTCTGGAAAATGTAGGAGGTTTAAAAGGATTATGCAGAGTGACGTGACTTTGAAAATTCCCAAACTCTTAACCAAAGCCTAAATGAGAACACGTTGTTAAATTTAACTATATTCCAAAACACGGCACAGTTAACTTGGACCCTGCGAGCCCAGCTGTAGCTCAGGGTGTCCACACTGCAACCTGCCTGTAGGAGGTTTGCAGACCACTCCCTGCTGAGAGAGTCCAGCCAACCCAAGCAGCCTACCAGCAGGCTGCAGCACCATGTCCAGATCCAAGCCCAGGCACCAGCCAGGGGTCCCTTGGGCCTGCCCTCCTATGGTTGAATAACAATCAGGGAGAGCCACAGGAAAAGCCGCATCATGCCCAGTACGGCCACTCCCTGGTCCTCAACAACACCGGTTGCACACTCTTCCACACACAAAAATGGTGTGCAGAAACAAGGGCCTGCCACAGAAGGCTGCTGAGCAAGGAACAAAAAGCATCAGGGGACAGGTGGAAACTGCTGGCTGGTCTCCACCTCTCCCGGAGGGCACAGGCCACAGAGGCCACAGAGCTTCTGCAGGGTTAAGTAGAGACGTTTTAGAACCACCTCCGGAAAAAGAAGGCAGTAAAGAGGACCTCCGGCAGCCTCAGCGGCCAGCACTCCTGCGACCTCCAGATATCAGGGGCTTGACCATGACCATGGCGGTAAGCTGAACACACATGAAAGTGCCTTCTGGCGCAAGAGCATACACCTTAACGCTGCTAAACTTGTCCTTTCACTCTTCTCCGCTCTTAGCAAGTGATCCTGAAAGGCACGGACAAAGTTTCTCAGATTAACTAGAGAAAACACGAGCCAGTGAAGACGCCCTGGGTGGCCTCTCCAGAGGCTCTCACTGGGCCTCCCTCCAAAGGCTACCTGCCCCACCCCTGGCACCTGGGTAAGGCTGCTCTGGGGCCATCAATACAGAATGACTTACGCGCCCCCCCCCCCCCCCGCCCCCAGCCGGCAACAGACACACAAGCCGCGTCAGGTTTGCAGAATCCCTTCAACTAGTAAAGCCTAACTCAAACGCACCCCTGAGCGCGACCCCACAGGTGTGACTGGCTTGGACACTCCTGGCAAGTGAGGGAAGTCCCCCTCCCCCCAGGTCTTTGCCAGCGGCAGGGTGCCGGCCCCGGCCTCCGCCTCATCCTCTCCACCCGCGGGCAAGTCGGAGCCGCCCCCCCGCCGCACCACGCAGTCAGAGCCCCCCCCCCCCCCACGCAGTCAGGCTGATTCTCGCACTTCAAATCCCCGCTGCCGCGGCCCCATTTGTGTGCTGACACGAACTGCCCTCGACCGGCCGGCCCACGGAGCGTCCGGAGTTCTCCCGGCCCCGCGCTCCCGCCTCCCCGGGCCGCCCCCGCCCCCGCAGGCCGCGCCTTACCGCCGGTGTCCTCGAAGCGCGGGGACGGGCGGTCCAGCAGCGTGGCACTCCAGCCCGCGCCGGCCTCGTCCTCCTCCGGCTCCTGCGCGTCCGGGGCGCCGGGCGGCGGCGGGGGGCCGGGGCGCTCGTGTTCGTCGTCCGAGGAGGCGGCCGAGGAGGAGCGCGAGGCGGCAGACGTGCTGTAGAAGGGGTTCCCGCCGCTGTCCGGGCCCGACTCGCCGAACACGTCGTCCGAGATGTGCAGGCTCTCGTAGCGCGCGCGGGCCGCCTCGAGCAGCGCCGGCGCCCTCCTCCGCGCGCCCCCGCCGCCCTCGGCCATAGCCCCGGCCGCCGCCCGCGCGCCCGCCCCCCACAGCGCCTCCCAGCCGCACGCGCTGGGCCCCGGGCCCGCGCCGCGGCCCGCCGCCCCCCACCAGCGCAGCCCGCAGCACAGCGCCCGCCGCCCCGCGCCCGGCCGGCCCGCCGTCTTGGCCGCCTCGGGCCCAGCGCCCGGGGAAGCGCCCTCGGAGCTCGGGCGCCGCAGGCTGCGGGCCGCGGCGGGACGCAGGGTGCGCGGGCGGGAGGCAGGGGCTGCGGCCGGGCCCAGGCGCCGCCGCTACTGCCGCCGCTGCGTCTCCTCGGCTCCCACCGCGTCCCCGCTCGCCCTCCCGCGGCACCCCGCGCTCCCCGGCCGACCTTCCCGGGCGCGAGCCGCCGGAGGCGGGCCCCGCCTCCTCGCACCTCCGGCCCGCCGGCCAATGGGGAGCCAGGCCGGGGCGGGGCCGGCGTGGGGCTCGCCCCACCTCCCTCACCGGGGCGGGTCGAGGAGAGCGGCGGCGGCGGCGGGAAGGGGGAGGGAGGCCGGTGGCTTCCTCGCCTGCAGGGACGTGCGGCCCGGGACGGCCACCCGCAGGCCCCGCGCTGCCCCACAGGGAGAAGGGAGGAACAGAGTGGGTGTCGGGGGGGTGGGGGGAGGGGCCGCAGCCGGTTCTTCCTGCCGCCGCAGCCGGTTCTTCCTGCCTCCGCAGCCGGCTCACGGAGCGTGAACGCCGCGTTCACCGTCCCCTTCCGCAGTTGGCGCCGGGGAGCTGTCCGCCCCGGTGGTTCTGAACTAGGCGCTGCGGAAACTCCAGGTAGGCGGCGGGCCCGAGGGTCACAATTCCCGCGGCTGTTGCTGCTGCTGCGGCTTCCGTGGTCCACAGCGGGCTGCGCCGCGAGCTCTTATAAGCACAAGGGCTGTCTGGCTTCCGGGAATCTTGCTCGAATAAGGAGCCGGCCTCGCCGGTCCATTTCTGGGGTCAGATGTTAACTCAGTCTCGCTTCAGTTCCCCTGTAATTTGAGGGGGGGCAGCATCTGGTTTTAGTCATTCCTCTCGTCTTTGACGTTTGACATCTTTTAAACTCAAAATATTCATTACCTCCCAAATATTGATTACTTTAACACCACTATTGCAACATCTTCACTCATACATTTGACACACTCGTCTATTAAAATATAGCACAATCACCCAGGCTTCAGTGCTCTGATAAACAATACAACAGAAAGGTTTCACCCACCCCTCTGCCTTGGCCAGGAGTGTGTGGCACTCATTCTGTTGATGGCGATACATATGATCAGTCTGTTTCTTGTTCCTCTCTCCCTCCCACAATAGTGCAATAAGTCACAATGATGGTAATTGGGCCATAAAGTCACTTGCACTCTGAAATAAAATAAATCCACAGAGATGTGAAGGGCTTACAAATCCTACTGGGTATTAACTAAATAATGATTACACGAAAGGGAAAGGCATGTTGCTATTTCTAAGCATGCATAAAGGATGAAGATGTTAGGACCACCAACTAACCACCAACTAAGGTCTAACAGCAGGCCGGCAGCTTCTGTTCTTGCCCTTCCCTCTCAAGCCCCTGTTTCCTCCTCCCAAACCAGAGCCTCTGTACCGGCAAGAATTCGTGATAATCACTGAAAGACGATATAAAAAAAAAGGAAAGGATTCACATGACATTGCTTTTTATATGGATTGGCTGACACATGTGAAATTGTTTGCAAAGCATTTCAACTCCGTTGGAAGAATTATGCCACAGAAAAGAACTGGTTTCCAACATATCTATATACAGTGCTAACCAGCGAAAAATTTTGAAGCAGAGTACATGCAGATAATCAGACTTGAAAAGGTCAATGACATACAGATTGAAGATGCAAAATAAGACTCCATTGCTCAAGTTCGAATTCTGCAATTAGGAATTCTGTAATACTCCTGTAAGATGTAATGATATCTACTAAAAAAAAAACAATTGAATGGGATCTAGAGAGTGAAATCTATAGGCAAGAATTCCTTCTCTTCTCCAGGTAGCCAATGAAAAAGTCAGCAGCTAAAATGAGTGTGTATTTTAAAAAACAACGGCTTGCTTTGTTACCCATAGGAAGCACAAAGTAGAGCAATAACAGTTACAAGGATGGACACTGTCTTCCATTATCCCAAATTTGCATTTGTATGGTGCTAATCCCAAAGAAACCATAGAGCCTTTGTGCTTATGAGCTCACAAGTGCTTGTAGCTCACACAGCATGCAACATTGGGGAGAGGATTATATGGTCACAAAAGAAACAGACTGAGAAATCAAATTGTTATCCAAACCCTTGCCAAACAATGGATGTTTAGCGGCAAATAGATGGCTGTCAGTTTAGAATCAAGTGTTTAGCAACCAAGTGTTACTTTGTTTAAGCAAGTGTTTCCAACCAAGAACAATAAAAATATTTCAGCCTTTTAAGAACAGGTGGCTGATTCTCCTTGTGGAAGGAGGGGAAGAAAGGGAAGAAAACAATTGGAAAACAAAAACCAAAAAACTTTCCCATCTGCTTGGCAACCTCATACTTGATGCTACCATTGTGGTTCTACATCATTAACTTTTATAAGTAATGTTATCTGTGAGGATAATTATAGAACCAGTATTATACTGAGATCTTTTAACTTTGAGGCATTTAAATACATCTTCCAAATAATATAACTTTGTAATATAATTAAATAATTTTAGATTAATACTGAGCTTTTGGTTCATAGTCTGCACAAAAAGCTCCAGGGTAGTAAGAGCAATCCATTTCTGTAGTAGATTCCTTAGGTTTTGTTAAGCCAGAGGTTCATGCTTTTATGAAACTGGGGCTAATAGCCATATTTCATTGAGTCTTGGCCTCCTTTCCTGGTATGTTTTAATAAGAAAGAAAAAATGCTACCATTCAAACTATGATACAGTGTTTTCTTTTCATTAATATTTTAATTTAAATGTATTGAAAAAGTTCTTTGGTAAGTATTTAGACAGATTTTTTTTAAAAGATTTTATTTATTTATTTATTTGACAGAGAGAGACACAGCGAGAGAGGGAACACAAGCAGGGGGAGTGGGAGAGGGAGAAGCAGGTTCCCTGCTGAGCAGGGAGCCATATGGATCCCAGGACCCTGGGATCATGACCCAAGTGGAAGGCAGATGCTCAACGACTGAGCCACCCAGGCGCCCCATATTTAGACAGATTTTTATCATGTATCGCCTTAATGCATACATAAAAATAAGTAAAATAGCTGTATAATGTTTTTCCAGAACTTCACGTTCAGAATCTCACTATTCTTATTTACTTTCTGAGAGTTTTCAATGCCCAGATTTTTCCCACAATATGTTCCTCTGAGCCACCCAGAGCTTCTGTCATGCTACACTTAAAAAATTTTTATTATTGACATATAGCTGACATTCAGTGTTAAATTAGTTTCAGGTGTACAACATAGTGATTTAACAATTCTATACATTACTCAGTGCTTACCACCATAAGTGTATCATTGCCTGTCACCATACAAACTTATTACAATATTATTGACTATATTCCCAGTGCTGTACTTTTCATCTTCAGATGAGAACAGGAAATTATTTTATTTTATAACAGGAAATTTGTACCTCTTAATCCCCTTCACCTATTTCACCCATCCCCCATCCACCTTCCCTCCCACAACAACCAGTTTGTTCTTTGTTTTTTAAGAGTCTGTTTCTATTTTTTTCTTTGTTCACTTGTTTCATTTTTTTAGATTCCATATAGAAGTGAAATCATATGGTATTTGCCTTTCTCGGTCTGACTTACTTCACTTAGCATAATATCCTCTAGATCCACCCATGTTGTCACAAATGGCAAGATCTCATTCTTTTTTATAGCTGGGTAATATTCCATTACATATATATACCATATCTTTATCCATTCATCCACTGATGGGCACTTGGATTGCTTCCATATCTTGGTTATTGTAAATAATGCTGCAATAAACCTAGGAGTGCATATATCTTTTTGAATCAAGAGTTTTTATTTCCTTTGGGTAAATACCAAATAGTAGAATTATTGAAGCATATGGTAGTTCTATTTTTAATTTTTTGAGGAACCTCCATATTGTTTTCCACAGTGGTTGCATTCCTACTAACAGGGCACAAGGGTTCCTTTTTCTCCACATCCTGGCCAACACTTGTTCTTTCTTGTCTTTTCTTTTTCTTTCTTTTTTTTTTACTTATTTGAGAGAGAGAGAATGAGAGACAGAGAGCATGAGAGGGAGGAGGGTCAGAGGGAGAAGCAGACTCCCTGCCGAGCAGGGAGCCCGATGCGGGACTCGATCCTAGGACTCCAGGATCATGACCTGAGCCAAAGGCAGTCGCTTAACCAGCTGAGCCACCCAGGCGCCCCCTTTCTTGTCTTTTCAATACTAGCCATTCTGACAGGTATAAGGTGATAGATGTCCCTGTGGTTCTGATTTTATTTTCCTGATGACTAGTGATATTGAGCATCTTCTCACGTGTCTGTTGGACATCCGTATGTATTTTCTGGAAAAATGTCTATTTAGGTCCTCTGCCCATTTTTTAATTGGATTATATGTTGGGGTTTTTTTGGGGGGATTGGTGTTCTTTACATATTTTGGCTATTAATCCTTTATTAGATTTATCATTCACGACTATCTTCTCCCATTCAGTAGGTTCCCTTTTGGTTTTGTTGTTGGTTTTCTTTACTGTGCAAAAGCTTTTTATTTTGATGTAGTCCTAATAGTTTATTTTTGCTTTTGTTTCTTTTGGCTGAGCAGACATATCCACGATTATGTTGCTAAAGCCAATCTCCAAGAGATTACTGCCTATTCTCTTTTAGGAGTTTTATGGTTTCACATCTCACATTTATTTACTTATTTTTTTTTAAGTAAACTCTACAACCAACGTGGGACTTGAACTCACCACCTCAAGATCAAGAGTCGCATGCTCTATGGACTGAGCCAGCCAGGCACCCCTCAGATCTCACATTTAGATCTTTAATCCATTTTGAGTGTCTTTATATGTATGGTGAAAGAATGTGGTCTAGTTTCATTCTTTTGCATGTAGCTGTCCAGTTTTCCCAACACTGTTTTTGAAGAGACTTTTTCCCGTTACATATTCTTGCCTCCTTTGTCGAAGATTAATTGACCATGTAATTGTATATTTATTTCTGGGTTCTCTATCCTGTTTCCATTAATTTATGTGTCTATTTTTCTGCCAGCACCCTCCTGTTTTGATTTCTATAGCTTTGTAGTATATCTTGAAATCTGAGATACTGATACCTCCAGCTTTGTTGTTCTTCCTCAAGATTGCTTTGCATGCTACCCTTCTTATAAAAGTACTCTGAGGTCATCCAAGTTGCTGCCCCTCCATTCTGCATGGTTTGATGCTGGTGGGGCTTT